TAAATGCATATTAAAAAATATCTCTTGATGTTTCCAAACATGATTTCTTCACGTCTGCCACAATGACAATAAGAAGACAACTCTTTTAAGTTGGAAGTTTTGATATTTCAGCACCCGTAACAGTGGTGGTATAAATTTCGTCCTCTTTATTCATTCATAGTTTCAATGCACCTTCTCTGGCTGAGTCAGCCTTGGGGCACCTTTTTTTCCCTGTTCCCCTAAGGTAGCAGGATGTTCAGAGGAGGAGGGTGAATGTGGGGGTTCATCTCTGAGCCCTACCCCCAAATCCACTGTCTTTTATAAGGAGGAAACTCGCACTTTGGGTGGGAGGTGAGGAAAATGGTTTGCACAAATTCAACAGAGTCACAATTGAAAGCTGGCTCCTTGTGCTTTTTTATTACATTGATGTGGTCCTTGAAACTGTGAGATTTCAGAATTTCCATGTGCTATCTTTCTGGGTTCTGGCGAGCAGTCATTTTATAGACAGTCCCTGAAATCCCAAAGCACATCCAATTTCTAAGCAAACATTAATATCACAAGATTTTAAAATGTTTTATACGTGGTTTACGGAAGTGTGAGAGGTGGACGCCACCAGTGTAATGCACTTGTATGAAGTGGACTTGAGCAGTATCGTGTGGCAAGCCATTGCTAACCATAAACTTACTGGGAAGTTTTCATTAGACATCTCTCAGATGCTAGCTAAAGCTTTTTCCATGGACCTGCAGCATTGTGTGTACATGTACAATAGCCAAACATTGTGAATATATGTGAATTTATTTATAACAGGACAAAGTCCTCATATGTAATACATAGTTGTTGTTCAAATAGTTTGCTAATTCTTGCCTCCATGAATTCTGACATAGTGTAGCTTAAGTACTCAGGTAAGGCTAAAAATGTGTCTGTGTTGCTATTGTCCAGCCTAGGATGATGCCTGGAGCTTGGGCATTCAAGAGAGAGGACCTTCTGTCCTTCAGAGGATGAGCTACTTACCAGAAACATGATCCCCAGTGTCACCTACGGCATCCACTTCACACTGACGCCAGTTTCAGTGGTTGAAGCTGAAACTGACAGGAATTTAAAGCAAAGTCATCCAGGTGCTTTAATGGTTGTTTTGAAGTGTGCATTTGAAAACTGTGGTTATCCTCTCCTAATGTTATAAATAGGCTTCCTGAGGATATATTTTACCATTGCAGCAGTAAAATGGCAGGTCTGTGGCTCCACAGAAACTCTTCCCGTAGTTAAAGAGTTTCTGAGCAGATAGTGGAATGAGCCCTGAGCCAAGTCAGTTTGAAGGTGTGAGATTTTGTACGGGGCACTGGAATCGCTATGGCTCACTGAAGTAGGAAAGGGGGCCTTGAAGAATGACGATGTAAATAATAAGAGAACAGGGTTGTATTTTGGTTTTCTAGAGCCAGTTAATTTTTTGCAAAATGTTATTCCTAAAGTGTATCCTGGAGAAATTATATATAGTAT